GGAGAGTGGCTCAGCAATGTCGTCTGCCAGTTCTTTCAGCACTCGCGGGTGCATTCCATCAGGACCCATGGATTTGTGGGTGTCCAGCTTCCTTAAAAGATCCCTAACCTGATCCACCTCGACCGAGGGAAGGTTGTCCTTTCTCCAAGCTTGCTTGCTTACCTGAAAGGACTGGGGAGCCTGAGGGCCAGCCTTAGCAGTGAAGGCTGGAGAAAAGAAGGCATTCAGTAGCTCCGCCTTCGCTGTATCTTCTGTCACCAGGGCACCCATTTCATTCAGCAGCGGTCCCACATTACCCCTAGTCTTACGTTTACTGCTGATATACTTGTCTAAACATGTGTAGTCATACAGTATCTGTCATCTAGAAGGACACTCTGGTTTTTATTATATCATATACATTGTCCATTTTGAAATACCGTGAGAGAACAAAGGCAGAAGATGGGTCTTTCTTTTCAGAAAAGGATGGGATTTTAAAAAAATAGCTGAACAGAAAGAATATTTTGGGTATTACTGGCAGATGGCCACAGCAAGCACAGTAAGTATTCAAAGGTGGTTTTTAGTCCAGGGGTAGATCCCCGTGCTTTTGGTGCTGAAAGCCAAGTACCCGTCCCCTGCAATGAGTATGGTCAGCATCTGTTACACAGATGAGTAAAGCAAAGAAAAATCTGAACAGTTCAGGGAAATTCTGTCATTTCCACATTTGGCTTTATAAAAAACAAGACAAAGCTATCCTATCTTCATTTTTTTTTTCACTTAATGAATTTGGAAATGTTGATGTTTATTTTGATGTGCATCATCAAAATAACACATTTGGAAATTCACAATATTGACATATACTCTTTGTTTCATAGAACACACGTAAATCATTGTTAGAAATCTTTTCAATTTTGATAACATTTTTGTTTCACCTATTGCCTTGTATAAGCTGTTATCTGTCTTCATTGCCTCCCCTGACCATATTCCCTGGGCTACTTTCAAAATATCCCCAGTGCCCTTGATAAATCTCATAGCATCAGACAAAAATCAATGCATTTTCTATGAGTCTCCAGAGATCTATACCCGGAAGTAAACAAAAGAGATCCCTGGGAACAGGGATCCTAAAAGGAAATGTGGTACAGAGAAATGCACTCCATTGCTCTGATTCAGAAGTCAGTGCTTCAGAAACATTGACTTTATTGGTGTATTTAGCCATTAGAAGGACATTTTTGCTAAAAGCAATATGAAAAGAAATGTTTCATTTTTATTTCCTTATGAAAAAATACATCAAAATTCAAGTTTTCTTATAGCGAACTTAAGGCAAAAAATATCATCATTTGATCTGAATCTCTTGACTATTAATGTCAGAGTCCATGGACAAATATGGGCAATTCTGATGCTGTGGAGGGCAGCAAGATATGTGGTAGCACATCCTTTATGATGAGTTATCTGAGTGCAAACGACCATAACTAATTATTCCTCCTTGCCCATCCCTGTAGTTCTCAGAAGTCAAATAATTTCCAGCAGAAGGATAGAAAACCCCAAATTCAGGTGAAGACTGTGATCCATGAGACATTTCTTAGGTTGAAGTTTACCAAGGAAGAAGACTCCAGGTTTTGGATCCAGGAATGTCTAACATGCAACTTGAAGTCAAGTATCTGAGCTGATGCCGAGTTCCCTCTTGGCATGCAATTTTGTGGACTCTGCTCATCTAATGTGTCCTTGATGAGTGTGAGCTTTATTTCCAGTCCCATTTCTACTGCTTGTCTGGAGCCCACCACTAAGAAACCTTTGACACATAGGCAAGAGAGACAACAAAAAATGCAATGTAAGAAAAAAGAGTCAATGTCCTGTCTTAAGGTAGTGTGCACTGAATCTTCACTCTGCTCTAACCTGACCCACAGCTGAAACTCCTGCTCCATGTTCTCTCTTTGGTAAAACATTTGTTTCAGACTTGACTTGCCAATAAGAACTCCAAGTGGGTGTAGGTCCCATTGCTGGAAAGCCCAGAATTTGAATGTAACATAGGCATAATAAATCAAGATCCCTTCGATTATAAGAATGGAGTACTAGAAACCGATGGTTTTTCTACCACAGTTTTCAGTGTCTGTGGATAAGGCAGTCATAGATCTATACACCAGCAGGATTTTGTTTGTTTGTTTTAATGACTTAAAGGGAGTGTCTCTATTTTTCTTGGGCAGATCAGTTCTGACTCTCTGAGTCATCTTGAACCAGTCATTGTAACCACTCCATGCTTCTTAATCCACTATAAACAGACCCATCTCTTCCAAATCCTAAATTAACATAATGCTTTTACACTCATTTAAACTGAGTTGATGAGACTCATTAAAGGCATAAATAGGTGGATCCTATTGACCTTTATTATTGTTTGTAGAACCTCAGCTAAAAAATACCATCTTCAACTGCAAAATATCCTCTCACTGAGACTGAGTTTTGAAAATAAATTTTTTGCCCCAAGGAGCACTATCCATGGCAATTTTATGCTTTAGAAAACACAGCAACAAAACACTAATTGTATTGCTTTTGGCTGTCTGCTTCTTCTCTCATTCATATATCATTTAGATTCCTTTTAGGTGGTGAAAACATCAGCTAATCTGTAGAAGGAAACAGCTGGTTTGAACTGATGGTTTCCTATAATACTCTTTTATAGTCTCTTGCGTGCCATCGTGGTACATCAATAATTTATATAGCATTTAATTATGCAATAAGGCACAAGTGGGCATATTTTCTATAGCTATTCTATGCACATCAACAAGGTCTTGTTCCCTTTAAGGCCTTGAAGAGTGTATGGACCTATAAAAATGTCCTTAGAGTGCCTTATTGCTCTTGCTTTATGTTCTTTTAATTTATTTGGGTGGGTTTTTTTGGTTTGGTTTTTTTTTTTTTTGAAAAGGGATTTTGAAGGCCAAAGCTAGAGAATAATCTTACTACTTTGGCTTTTATATGGTGTGTACATTAATAAATAATACAGTGCTGTTCTGCACGGAATTGTTTTTCTAAAAATCTTGCTCAGGCTTCACAGGAAGCAGAACATGGGAACTCAAGGCAGAAAAATCAGAAGTCATTAGGTTTGTTCCTTGCTACTTTAGGCAAGACACCTTTAAAAGGTCCCATTCTTGGCATTTCCTTTATTTTCCACAGGATTCTTGGAACACATTAGGCTGTCACTGTCATGCTCTAACTCACTCCAAATCTCAGTTTTTCCCTCCTGCAATGGGCAAGGTGTGTGTTTGCTGACTGAGAGGATTCACGTAATTCACCCGTAAACATAAATGCTCGCATCCTGTTTGTGTGGCAAGCAATTTTTTGCTTCTCACAGCTATTCCTCCACATCTGTGAAAATAGGACAGATTCACAAAAATGCCTTGAACTGAACTTTCTTTTTTTATTTACAACTGATTTTTTTTTTGCAGAAAACATTTCCTTTGTGTTCACCAGGGCTTTATTTCATGAAAGAACACAGTAGCCCTTATGAAGCCCATCAAAAACTTCCTTTTAGTCCTCCCAACAGAAAATGCCTTCAGAAAAAGAATTGCTATTCTGACAAAATATTTCTTCTCTTTAATGAAAAGCTAAAACATTTCAAAGAAAACTGACAAAAAAGATTAGCCTTCTGATGTGTTTGAAGCTAAAGCTTTCCTGGAAAAAATGAAACATTTCCCAAATCCATTCATCGTCCAACTTCCAACTCCCTTTCCCTTTCCGTAGAATAAGCAGTGACCTCTTTTTGCCCATGGTTTGAGTTGTTTTCTCAAATATCATAGAAATTTCTCCCTTTTCATACCAAAATAAACATTCACAGCACTAGGGCGATGACTTTGCAACACACAAAGCATTGCTGTGCCTGCTCAGTGCTGAATTTTCACACTTAGACGCTATTTCTCCTTAAAACCAGCTATGGAGCCCTTTTCCCCTGCCTATTTAGAGCCTGTGTTAAATCTCTCTCAGGCAAAAGTTGTTCCATGTGTGTCATGCATGGGCTTTTCACGTCCACATACAACTCTCTATCTTCCGCCACCAACTGAACCATCTGTGCCAGGACACTGCAATAGAACATGCCTAGGACTGAAGTGTCCTTGCTGTGGATGATTGGTCTTCCTCACTGGGCTGATACTGTCTTCCTTGGTTACACTATAGGCTATCTGGCTTCAAGAATCTTAAAAACAAACAATACATGTCTTAAATAAAATTTAAAGTTTTCTACCACAGAAGAAATTTGAAGGTTTTTTTTTTTTTTAAATCAAGAGTAATATAATGCAAGCCTGCACTGCTTTAGCAAATCCATTATTTTCTCATATATTTTAATAATTTCACTCTCCACATGCAATTTTTTTTTAAAAATGTTTTATTCTAACAGCATGGTACAATGGAAAGAGATGAGAAAAAAAGAGATTTAGGCATCAGGGTGCCGGGAGGGCCAGCTGCTGCTGAAGGGCAGGGAAGCCACAAGCTGAGGGTGACCATAGCGCAGGCCGTGCCCTCACTGACTGGGGGCAGTCCTGAGGGACCTGAACATGGCAGAGAGTTGGGGGCTGGTTTGACAGCCCCAAACATGGCAAACAATAAACCAGGGCTGGAGTCCATCCAGGGAGCTGAGTCAGGAGCAAAATGAGATGGGGGCCAAAGTCAGGGTTGGAAACAAGGCTACAAAGTGGGGCAGAGAGGTCCATCTAGGGCGCAGGATCAGAGGCAGGGCTGGAGACAGGGCAACAATGTGGGTCCAAGGTGCCCATCCAGGTGTGGCTGGAGACAAGTCTGCAACATGACTCAGAGAGGTCCATGCAGAAGAGCAGCAGACCAGCACACCTACACTGCAGCTCTAGCACAACCTGAGGGCCCCGGGCTGAGCTGTGGGTACAATATTTTGTGCAGTTGCACCTAAGCGTGCTTGGAAATGTTTAGGGTTATCCTACAGCTCACTACAAATAAGTAATGAGCATGGGAAGAAAGCAAGGGGTATGTTTACGTTGTACATATAAAATCTGTATTCGGCAGAGTGAAAGCTACCTAGAATCAGAACACCACAGATATGTGGAATATGCACAGAATGCCAAAAGAAACACAGCAAAACCACCACAGGAAAGAGATGTGAGTGCATCAGGGCTTTGCAGTGCTTGGAAGGGAGGGAAGGTGAATGTCATTTCTTTTGCTTTATCAATTATGTAGTTTTGTAAGAAGGGGGAGAGTCAGGAATGCTTAAGAAGGTTACAGAGACAAAGTTTGGCCCATCACCCTGTGTACCAAGCTACAAACCTAGCCTTGTAGATCAAGATAAATTAGTGTAGAAGAGTTATCTGGATTCCAGGTGCATAGCAATATAATGCTGTGGA